TATATCATATGAGACAATGGAAGTCCGAACTAATAAAAGTGAGCAACAGGTTTTTTGTTTTTCTTTCGAAAATTAAAAAAAATCTGTAATCTTCTGCCTTTTTTACTGAAAGAGACTCGGAACAACCAATAACCGTCTATTGATAGAATTTGAAAGAATCTAACGTCAAAAATGTTTCCTATTAGGAAGAATTTGCACACTCCAATGATACAATGTTTTATTTTTTATCAAACTAGGATCTATAATATATTATGACGTTCTCAGCTGCTTGACCTTTCACCAGACGTATCCGAATTAAACCAACGTTTATACTTTGAATGATATTTTCCAGAGTCTATCAAATGATAACTTATCGTTCATTGATTTTAAGCGACACAATTCAGATAAAAATTGGAACAAAGTAGTTCTACTTTGTATGATTTTGATTGATATTCAGATAACCTAAAATAAAATATTAGCATCAGTTCAGTATAGGTACATATAGCGAGTACATTGTGATTTGATATTGTTGAATATCAAGTTCTTGTTACAATACTGCATAATTTTGAGTACTTTTCGGTATTAACAAAAAAATAAAAATAATTCTGCACAAAAAAAATTGACCGTTTTGACCCATTTAAAAAAATGGCTTCGCTCAGATGGCCATGACTATACCTAATAGCAAAAAAACACGAAAAAAAGACTCACGAAATTAAATACACCTGACAGTGTCATACCAATTTAATTGTCACTATNTCTCGATTGCGTTATTCCAAATATGGGTGACATACGATAGAAGGTCGCCTGTTGATCTTTATTTCCGGAAGTCATATTGATGATCGCTCAAGATATTGAAGCCTTCCGAATATTTGAGGATATGGTGGTTTACGACTTTCATCATGATTTTTGATATCACTGATAGCAAATCGACTGGTCTATAGTTATTTGGAACAGTTTTCTTCTCTTTTTTGGGAATAGGCTGAACGCGAGCAATCTTCCAACAAGAAAAAAAAAACCCTTCCTTGTAAGACAGGTTGAAAAGTCTGCAAAATACTGGTTCGAGTTCATTGGTGTACTTTTTGAGTACTACGACTAGCACTTCATCGAGACCAGATGCTTTGTTGATCACTCAAGAGATATTCATATAATGACAGAAGTCAAGTCTATACGCTACATCATGAATTATAACGCATGGATGTTTCCGAAAAAGTGCCAAATAAATATCAGTTATTTCTTTCTCGATAAAATATTTTTTCATGAAATGTACGATGTGCAAAGTATTGAAATTCGAGAATGAAAATCTGTTTTAAAATCTGTTTTTCCGTTAATCAGCTGTCGCCCCCATACGAACGACAACTCTCAGAAGTTGAGAAACTTGTGCGAGCTAAGGACTAACAAGGTCTCACCTTTCAACGTGTGATTTCAATGTGGTTTTTGAACGACAAGGTTGAGTCATGTCGTACCCCCAAATATTTAACCTTACTTACTCGTGCCAACGTGATATTTTCCATTTCATATGCATACTCTACTATTTCTCTTTTTTTTGTGCAATTCATTACAACACATTTTGACGTAACCATTAAATGGTAACTTATTTTTCACACTCTATTGGTAAATGTTTTCAATATCACCACAATCTTGAACACAATCTATTTCTCTATAAAATTTCAGGTCGTCTGCAAAGAGTAAACAATTTGAATATTCAATTTCTGCTGGTAGATCATTAATAAAAATAAGAAACAGTAGAGGCCCAATATTTGCTCCTTGGGGCACTCCTAAGTTGACTGGTACTCATTTGAATAGTTAGTAACAAATTTCACTCTGAAACAGACGGAAGAAATGACATTTGACAGATCTAGCTTCAACGAGATTGCCGTTATCAATTGTCAAAATTCGGCCTGATTTGTTATTCTACGTGGTTGCCGAAAACAGTTTTTTGGACTCGCAGTCTGCTCCTTAAAAAACAGTATTTTACGGGCTTGTTCCGTAACTTACTATTCTTACTTCTTTCAAAAACCCATATGAATCATTTCTTTCAGTAACAATGTTGCTTCAATGAACCTCATGCTCAGTAATTTATTTAGTATGGAAAATCTGTTCACGATATAGAACTAATCACTTGAATCCCGGAAATAACCATTCAAATCCTTATCTTGCAACAATATTCCTGTTATCAATTAGTGTTCTTTGTTTACTTGTAAAGTGAGAATAATTAACTGGTGTGGGCTTTGGAATCATTAATAGTACGAATAATTCAATAACGTTCTTTAATATTATCATGGAGACGATTCCGATATACAGTGCATTTCTTTAATGTCCCCCCCTTTTATTGTTTGTACGGGTCAACACAAACAATTGAAATTTGGGATAATGAAATTAATCCATGAATACTTCATTTTGAAGTGAATTTGACAGATGAAACTTTCAAGATGACGACTGGGCGCTATCTGGGGTTTTGTGACACATATTTTTGAAGCTCCTAACAAATGCTTCAGAACCCTAAAAAATGGCGGAACTTTTAATAATTGCCTGTATACATTGACATTCAACTACATTATATGAGGTAATAAGCTTGAGGTCAGTTTAGAAGATGCTCGAAATGGTTGCCTTGACCTTCTTGTCATATGAACAGCCTATATTTAAATTATATTTCACACAGTAACGTCAATATCTCTACAAATATTTATTATTCTCTGCCGTATATCCAGTATTGAAGCAGGTTCAGTTTCGTACACCTTCTGCTTCAAATAGCCCCATAAAAAGTCCAAAGGTTTTGAATCTGGCGAGCGAGTTGGCCATTCTGTAGCACCTCGACGGCTAATCCAACGACCGGGAAAAGTAGTATCCAAATAGTTTCTTACTTGTCTGGTGTAATGAGTAATGTGGTGGTGCTCCATCTTGTCGAATTCATTAGGATTCGCTTCGACGATTTCAGTGATGAAATTAACGTGACGTTTTGTACTACCAAAAAGACACTTAGCCATAAATTTATTTGGTTTACCTCATAGTTGTAAGGGGTGGAAAACGCAACCCATAAAATTTATTTCCAATGTAACTTTATGTCTTATTATTTGTATACCATTTAAAAATTTATTTCCGATAGCCTGTTTCATTCTAAACAAAAAATGTTTCTTGGGTTTTTTGCCCAAACTAAACCAGTTCGCAGCAAAAAATTATTTTACGAACAACTACAGAGATACATCGTCATAAATGCGAAAATACAAAAATAATCTATCTAGTACGTCGCTATTAGCGATAGTGACAATTAAATTGGTNAACCATTTCGAGCATCTTCTGAACTGACCACAAGCTTATTACTTCATATTATGTAGTTAAATGTCAATGTATTCAAGCAATTATTAAAAGTTCTACCATTTTGTAGTAGTTGATGATATTGACTTCATATTCTAGGGTTATGAAGCATTTGTCAGGAGCTTCAAAATGATGTATCACAAGACCCCCTTTCCATTTAATTTTTTTCTCAGATGGGGCCCAGTCGCCATCTTGAAAGTTTCATCTGTCAATTACACTTCAAAATAAAGTATTCATGCATTAATTTCATTTTCTTAAATTTTAATTTTTTTAGTTGCCCCGTACAAAAAAGAAAAGAGGGGGACATTAACGAAAAGCACTGTATATTCATTTCCATGATCAAGTAATGGATAACCCAATTTCGATTCCCGACAAAACTGTGACCAATAATCATTCATCATCTTTGTCACTGTTGCACATCAGTTCAAAGTTTTATATAAACAAATCTCTGTAACAAAGAAACAAAAACATTTTACGTATTATTTTTTTTTTTATAACTGATAATAACACGTAAAAAGTGTCATCATTGCGGAAAATGAACTTTGGGCTGCTGATACACATTTCTAAAACGAATCTCATGTATGATTAATCGCTTACTGATATATTCAAGTAATCATTGAAATATTTTGCGTCAAAAGAACGTGGGTACACAGTGTTTGATGTGACTATATATGATAGACACAAAAAAATGTTTTTCCGACGACTTACTTGATATACGTATCATTTCCCACTGAAAGTTAGTACACAAAATTAGATATTTTTCACTAGTGCGAAATATTTCATTTCGCACTAGTGCGAAATGAATATTGCGCACGGTATCGTCTCTCTTAATCTGGTTCACATGTACTCGATTTAGCTCTTTTTGGTGACATTTTTCAGCCCTGTCCAAAAATTACGACCAAGGTGTCATTCGATTGNATCTTCCTTTTACCAGAATACCGAAAGTGGACAAAGCCCTCCTGAAGATGATCGATGGAAACGAAACAGGAAAAGACCAAAGCACCACAATGGATCCCGCGTTGTTCTGCAGCTTTGTGGAAGCCATGAAGTCGGAATGTTACACTAGAAGCATTTTGGAGTTGTGGGGTTTCAAAGCAAAGAAGATTGCCAATATTACCAAAGACGATATTCTCTGGGCCATTAATACTTTTGACAGAAAGTGAGTAATATTAGTGAACTCACATAATTCTTTGGCTAAGTCTCTGTATAAGAACTAATCATACTTTAATAACAACTTGCACAACATTTTTATTAACTTTGAGAACTAACAAAGGGGAATACCTAGAGCGATCATCAACTTGATACTTTTGAGAACTAACATAGTTGTATACCATGCAATAAACAACCTTGTAGAGAAAATTTCCCAATTCCTTGACAACAAGGAGATTGCGGTTGCTGTATTTCTTGATATTGAAGGAGCATTTGACAATGCACTACCTGAATCTATAGGATCATCTCTGGCTAGGAAAGGTATAGAATCGACCATAACTGGCTGGATCTATGCTATGCTGGTGAACAGAACTGCAACTACGACTCTTCAAGGCGAGGCTATCAGGTTCAGGGTCACCAGGGGCTACCCTCAAGGTGGGGTACTATCTTCCCTTCTGTAGTCGCTCCTGAGGGATAGTCTGCTTGATGCCCTTGACAAAAGAAAAGTAGATCTGCAAGCTTATGACCTTGTCATAGTGGCAAGGTCCACGTCAAGAAGGGATGCCTGTAATATCCTCCAAATTGTTGTTGGTTTACATTTGGTGCCTGAGGGAGCAGGTGTCTGTCAACCTCAGCAAAACTGTGATAATTCCCTTCACTAGGAGGAAAAAATTGGACGACTTAACGCCACCTGAATGGTAAGGTCATTCCATTTGGACAGGAGGTGAAATTTCTTGGCATTGTCCTTGATAAAAAACTCACCTGGAACGCTCACTTGGAGAAAGTTTTACACAAAGCCAGACTGTCTCTATGGACATGTCGAAGGATTTGTGATGAAACTTGTCCATCAATAAAATTCACGTATGAGTTAGAAAATAAGGGACAACTACCATTTCTTGACGTGTTAGTAATGAGGAGCCAATATGGAGGGTTAGAATACGATATATTTAGAAAAGAAACAAGCACGTACAGGTATATTCCTGACAGTTCACATCACTGTGGACAGCACAAACGTGCTGGGTTGAATTTTTTAGTGCATCGTCTTTTGACTTAACCTCTGACACATGATAGGTTCACAAAAGAAAGACGTACAATACAGGAAATAACAGCCACTAATGGTTTCTCGAGGAGTATTGTAGATGACATAATAAGGAAGAAGAAGTTTAGGTTAAGAATGAACGAAATCTCGACAAAAACCAAGATAAATACATCTCAGTTCCATATCACCAATATACGAGGAACTTTGGAAAGATTTTCAAGGAACTAGGTATGAAGGTGGTCCACTATAGCAAGTCAAGAAGCATCATCACGAACTACATATTACTTACTTTTGAGAACTAATCAAAGAGGTACAACTTACACAAAATTTTTCCAGATTTTGAAAGCTGATCAAAAATGATTTTCATTGTCTCAAAACTTTTGAGAACTTATCAATTATCTGGAACTAATACAAAATTTCTGATTCTTTATGGACCAACCATGTTTTTGAGTACGCAATAATGTCATGAACTTAGATAATGCTTTTGAGGACTAAATAAATAATCCTTTTTGAGACTCTACCTATGCTACTGCCATGAGTTAACTTGATGCTTTTGAGAACTGACTGAGTATTATTAAGAATACCCTTCACGCTTCCACCAAAAATTATTATCGATGAGTGTTTCATGCTTTTGGGAAGCATTAATAGAAACCCACTTATCACTATCACGAATGTATATCGGACTTAATTTGAAAATTAATTTCGTTTTTTGAAATTTCAGTTCCTTATATGGCAGACTGAAAGATTACAACGATTTGCTGGGAGGAGTTGTTAGAAACGAATCTGGACATATTATTAGTGCGAAAGCCATTCAAAATATATGGTACTTGAACGTTAATTTCTCATCAATAGACATGACGACATCGGGAAACGATGCAGGAACAGCTTTATGGGTAAGATGTTTTGGGATTAACACTGATTTTGTCACACATTATCTTCTTTCAAATATTAGAACTCTGATAGAATTTTCCGGGACAAACAAGATTCTGAAGCACCCGATTACACTTGTTTTTTTGCTTCGTTGATAAACTTATTTGTCTGATACATTTTGATGCATTCTTTTGTGTGTCATTCCTATTATCAATTATTGTGGATGAGTCAGAAAATATGAGCAAATGCCTGATCTTATTTCGTTGCTGGCAATGCAGCTACGATGTTGACGAAAATGATACTTTGTTTACTAGGATATTGCGATTGTAAATTTTATGTAATTAACAAATATTTAAGAACACCTCTCGATATAAACATTACTACAAAATAAGTAACGGAGTGACCCCTGGAACCAAAGATAATATCGTCAATCGCTTCACAAATTATGGTCTTACTAACACATATTATCTTTCCATTTAATTAATTAATGTTTCGATTATTTTTCGAAGTGAGGCATGAATCAAATGTAGAATGTTTGTAGGGATCAAAGGTCCCCTTTAATGACTGATAATTGACTACTACTGAACGATAAGAAATATATAACTACTCGATATATCACTAATTCTATTTGACGGGTTAGTTGCTTTGAAAAAAAATGATATTTCAAAATTACGAGGTCGTTTCAGTAAATGCGTACATTTGATAAGCACTTTTCAATTTTTTTATGTTAGTACACACATTTCGGAAATATGTTTAGTTTGTTGGTTAGTGGCATAAAAGTAAGGAGTGTTTTCTTGTTCGGCGATTTTTTGCTATAAAAAAAATTGATGAAAGATTCGGCATCGAATTTTGTAAAAAAACTGGATTTAGGTGCTGACAGGGGCGTACGGTGATTGTACTATGAGTCTGGAATATATTTACAAGTGGTACACGATTTTCACTGAAGGTTGAGATGAACCGATGAAAATTGTAATGGATAATCGTCGAACGACTATTAGAGAAGTTGCTGAGGATGTCGGCATCTCAACCAAATTAATCGTCACACAAGCATAGCTCGGAATTGTTGAATGATGTCAACGGCGATCAAAATTTGCTTGAAAGGGTCATAATTGGTGACGAATCATGAGTAGATGGTTATGATATCGAAACCAAAGTCTAGTCGACTCGATAGAAGAGCCCAGGAAAGTCGAGACCAAGAAAAAGCACGTCAAGTTAGATCAAATATCAAGCAATACAAAGAAAACGTCCGGTATTGTGGAAAAAATCCATGGCTTTTGCTTCACGGTGTAACTGCTCCCTCGTCATTACTTGTTCCAAATTTTTTGGTCAAAAGCAACACCTTAATCATGCCTTAGCCACCGTATCCAACAGATTTGCTCCTCTACAACTTTTTCCTTTTCCCAAGATTCAAGAGACCCATGAAAGGAGATGATAACCGAATCTTGATCATTTTTGTGTATGGTTCTCCAGTTTCCAGAAAAAACGTTCCCTGCAAGTGGCCTCAATGGATATCTCTCGGATGCTTTCAAAATCAACGCTGGTGTTCCCCAGGGATCTATATTGTCTCACCCCCTCGTTTTATTGTATATCAACGGCACTTTGGAAGAAACCAAGAAAGCAATATATTGCTTTGCTGACGACAGCACACTTGTCTCGACATTCCATTTGGATTCCAGGACATCGGCCGTGAATGCACATCTTCACCCACAGCAGGAGGTTGCAAATCTCAATGAGGATCTAGAGGTGATTTCTAATTGGGGTGAAACTACCCAGGTTCAATTCAATGCCACAAAAACCTAGGCATCGGTTTTCTCTAGAAAGATAGAAGTCTCCGAACTGGATATAATAATGTCAGGACAGATAATTCAGCTTTCTGCTTCGATAAGTTTGTTGGGGATCAAAATGGACACCAGACAACTGTAAACACCTCAGCAACGTTTGCTTCTTTATAAATCTCAGATCAGACCTTCTTTGAAGTATTGTTCTCATGTGTCGACCTCCGCCTATAAGCATATCCCGAAGCTGCAACCTTGATAGCCTGGAACATCGATGAAAGGTTGGAGATTTTCCTCTCATCTATAGATACTTTCACGGAGGTGTTCAAGTGACTTAGCACGTGTGATTCCACCAAGAGTGGTACATATCAGGAATACGCGTTGGACTGTGACCGTTTATCGTTTTGAGGTTCAACTCAGTACACCTCGAACTCCACTGTTCAATAACTCTTTTATTTGGAGAATTTCGTTTATGTGGAATACACTTCCTTAATTTCCAGCGATCCAAATCCAACGAATACTCTTTTCTTATAACATTTATTGAAAAATTTGAAATTATAACCGAAAAACAACATGGTTTCCGAGAATCAAAGTGGACGATAACGGCTTTAGTTTCCTTTTATAGCACAGTGGTAGAACATATTGAAGGAAGTGAAAGTCCAGCTACAGTATTTTGTGACTTGTGCAGGGCTTTCGATTGTGTGAACCACGCTCTAAGTTACTAGCAAAACTGGAAAAAAATGGTATTAGAGGGGTAGCGAATACTTGGATATCAACATTCATAGAAAATCGTACACAGTATGTTAGTATAGCCCAAAACAATGGCAGCAAGACGCAGAAGGTCAACTCCCAACTGAGAACTATTGAGAGAGGTGTTCCTCAGGGGTCAATATTAGGGCCTGTGCTATTTACATTGTATGTGACAGATATAGATCAGAATATCAACTCAGGCAAGTACACTGCTTATGCAGATGATTTTTCACTGACAATATCAGCTCCTACAACATCGGAAATAAAAAAGATGGGCACTGATGTAATGAAAAAAGTTACTATTTCAATGAAAACGACTTTTATTTGAATGTTGATAGGACAACGTTATATAGATTTCACAACAAACAGAAAGCATGTAACACAATAGAAATCGAAGTGATTGACAGGCCCTTATCAAGCTCTAATAAAAGAACAATGAAATTTTTGAGCACCTTGACTGGAAGGCACAATGTGGACATATTATTGCCAAGCTTCACTCAATGAACTACTTGCGTAATCTTTCAGCCAGAAAATAGTTAATGACTCTTTATTCCGCTCATATAGACTCCCCCCAACTTCGATATGACATTTTATTGTGGGGTATGTCAACTAGGTGTGCTGAGGTGTTTAGAGCACAAAAAAGATTGTTCGCTGCATGGCAGGGGTGTCTAGCTCTCATTCATGTAGACGATTGTTTCCAAATTTAGGTATATTGACAACACCATGTGTTTATATACAGGGCTATTCAAATTCGTTTCTGTACATGGGGATCTCGTGAACGATAAGAGATAGAGTGTCGGTTGAAGTATGGCAAAGTTACATATTTTAGAGACCTATTCAATGATGTAAAGAAATCGAATATAGCTCTTTTGGTTCTGGAGATATACAGGAAAAACCCAAAAATCCCAAATTGTTTGCCTATATCTTCTTTATTCGCAGACATACTGAAAATGTGTCCATATTTTGCTATTGGCACTTGATGTGGGCTCTCAGAATATCTTCATGAATCTTTTATACAGGGTGTCTGTCATCTGACTTGGGCCACCCCCATCTTTGAATTTTTAAATACGGACATATATTTTTTATTGTAGTTTTTAGATCGTAGACGTTCACTTCATACTGAGAAATTAAATTCAATTTTATATTTCGGGATTTTTCGGTAATATTCGATTATAATTGTGTGAATTATTCCCTTTTAAATTACGGCCCTGGAAATTGGTTGACTGAGTTGAATAAAAATGCAATAGCAACTTCCACGTCTCCCTATGAACCGTAGAGTTTTTTGAGAGTTTTTTTTTTCAATTTTCAAATGCCTATTCATATTTTTTCCATTGCACTGAGCGTTTTCTACAATGAACTATGAATAAGAAAACCTTTTATGATTATCTGAAATATATCTACAACAAAAATATATTATACGTGTTTTGATGCAAAATGTGGACTGTTTTTCAATATGTCTGCAAATAAAGAATATATAGGCAAAAAAATACTTTGGGATTTTTTTGTTTTTCCTGTATATCTCCAGAACCAAAAGAGCTCCCCATTACGAGATCCCCATGTAAAGAAACGAATTTGAATAGCCATATACAGGGCTATATGAAGCGTGTATGTACGTTTTCCGAAACAAAAATAAATTCACACTTAATGATAACGTGCACAATTATCATACGAGAAAGAAAAAAGATATACATTTCCAGACGGTCCGTTTGAAGCTGAGTAATCTTCAAATAGCATGGGCGCCAGATTTATTCAATGACCTTCCACCTCAAATAAAAGGAAAGGATAGTTTACATGTTTTTAAAAAAAATATTGAAACAGTTTCTGTTGGAAAAATGTTACTATTCAGTTGCTGACTATCTCAATGAATGAATGAATGTATGTAATCGATTTAAATTGTTGAATTTTTTAAGTAGGTGTATGTATTATGTATTTTTATATATTTTTATTGGTGTAGTGATATGACAACTTTTAATGCAATTTTTAGAATTGTCAATTAAGACAATTAACACAAAGGCACCGCTCTCATAGCGCCTTAGGGATTTTCCTGTAGTGCTTTTATTTTGTCCATAAAAAAGGACATACCAAAAAGTGCATTTAGGAACTGTTTCCGGGATTGAAAAAAACACTGGTACAAATATATTTGAGGGGGACTACTTTTTCATACTTTACTTCACTGTTATGACGAACCATATGTACCGGGTGTTCCAAAATTTTATGAAAACAATAACTTTGATGAAAGACAAAAACATAACTATGTGCTGGATCCACAAAAACACTAATACTTCATCATTCATGAGGGTTGTGGGTATGATACCAATAATACAAAATTATATATGATTCCAGGCAAACGACGAGGGTCTTGATTGGGAAAATGCTTTTCTGAAGTTGATGAATAACATCACGAAAAACTTCAATCACATTTACTATTCTGCAGGAAGGAGGTAAGTTTTTATTTATTATAACTCCTTTCAAGAAAGTGTTTTTTTTTCATTTTGCTTCTAGTTTTAGGAACATCTATTCCAGTAAACTGTCAGAATATTGGGAATTTCAAAGTCGAGTCTCACTATTGCAATATCAAAAACCATGAGAGACCAGAAAATGTTTGAATTAGTGCATTAATATAACTAATTAAACGCCAAGTTTGACCAGATATATCCCAGATACCCGATTATTTTTCTTTAGCATTAGTTGTAGAAATATTCAACAACCAGTTGCACAAAATGGTTAAGGCTGTCGCGGCCAAGCTTTTCAGTGTCACTATTTTCCAGGTTTGAAGGCCGTCGATTTTTCGAATTTCTTCCTGACGTTTCGCGCGAGTTGCTAGTTTCTTCAGATGTTTATTTGTCCAGAGTTTATCTACGATGGATATTGAGTCTGCGTAAAACGTGTCTGGTGTGATAATACCAAACTACCTGTCCATTGAGAGCAACAAAAACACATGTCTTCTATCTTAATGTAGTAAATATATATCAATGAATGATATGGAAACCTTCCACGCCCCTTCTTGAATTTCTGCAGAGAGGGTCCATATAAAGACAAGACAAGTTTTATTTCCCAAGAAACTACATTCCAGAATATATATAATTCAGTTGAAAAATATCAAGTTTCACTCGAAGATCATAGAAAAAAAAGGTTGATTATTTTTTTGGTCATACGGAAGTTTGCAAGAACTTCACATTGAAACTGAGTAATATCCTGAAAAAAAATATCAATTTTCTTTTCCATTTCTTTACTTGATGGTAGAGTTGAGACTTGAAGAGAGTCATCAAAAGTTTCATTGAGAAAATAGTACATTTCAGTATGTAGAAGTTTTATGGTGAATTTGTCCTCTGCTTGGCCCAGCAATTTACTTTTCTGACTTCTTAAATAACGGAATGTAGAATGATCAGATTATTGAATATTAACTTTTTCAGATTTCGGCGCTTCTTCCGTATGATTCTCGGATCTGAAATAAGGTTCACATTCATTCCATTGTGTATCCTTTTTCACTTATATAGAGTTTATTAGGTGTGCATCTCTTTTATAGTGTACAATAAACCACTGGCCGGTTAGGTTAGGTTAATCTATAGACTCTTTCGACTACTTCTAGAAGAATGACAAAATCTAGTTTGGTTTTCAATATATTCAAAATACGTTCCTCCAATTCACTGTGATATTCCTCAGCCTCTTCTGAAACTCTATAAAATACTAACTAGTTTTGTTTCGATTGTGATCCTAAATGTCTGATTTCTTCTCTAGGGTGTCTATCTCAACAGTGAATTGTGAATCTTAAATTTTTAGTATTTAGTCTAGAGTTGCCAGCTCTAGAATTTCTACAACAAAGCAGATTGGTTTATCGCATTATTTATATTTAAGGTATTGTTAACTAATCATGTTTAAGTTATTTAGTCTTGCATCATTCTCAAGGGTCTCCCAATCTGAGTTTTCCAGTTGGTCTTTTAATGTATGGGTCTCTTCTAATCCACTTTTTCTAGTGAAATTTAATATTCCCGAATATCTTCACTGAAGCAACCCGTATATTTAGACCTATTTCCATGTAAATATTGTAAACTACAAATAGCTAGTTGAGCACCTTATATGACCATTTCCGAACTACACTTATCGTGTAAAATAACTAGATTTTTTACTGGTAACACTAGATTTTCAACAATTTTAATGGAGCTCCCACAAATACACGTTGACTCGACGACAATGAGAAACGACAAGTGTTGGGCATTTCTAGAAAGATTCTTTTAAGTAATAAATTGGACTGGTCTAATATTTTGACAGTATCATATGCAGAACGATGGTCTAAGTAGATGGCGAGGAGAATAGCCCCTATATCAAATTCTGTACTATTTATATAGTTCTTTTCATACTGAAGTAAGAGCACGTCCTTTTTTACAGTTTTGGTGACATCAGCAATGATTCGATGTTCTCGGACATGTACTTGCTGGTCATAGGAGTCTCAGTGATGATAGTTTACGTCCAGTTGGTTATCTCGAAGTTCAACTGGCTGGAAGCGAGGGTATGACCGACGAACCAATGGTAGTGACATAACACCTAGTAAAGATTGTTTTAGGTTTCATCGGATTGCTCACCATAGGCATGTCTTTTGTCGTGGGAGCCGGACTATGTTCTTTGATAGGCATTTTCTATGGACCAGTGCATACTTCTTTGCCCTTCCTACTGATGGGGTTAGGTAATATATCATACATTTTCTAGAGAAAGCGTTCTGGAATTATAATTATCTGCTACAACCCATAGAACTCTTTAATTTACTTCTATTATATATTATTTAACTTGATTTAGCATTATATTTGGTTCTGTATAGATTGAATATGTATTTCAGAAATGGCATTTCTACGCAAACTGCCTGGCCTTGAACTTTGAAATATATAATTGTTTTATTTGTTGCCCCATACACATTTCCATGGGGATTTTTAAGGTTACGTGGAAGAATAGACTGCTTTAAACATCGCACGCTGAAAGAAGACTGAACTTCGTCTTGTACGCTGTCTGTTTAAAAAATACGGTGAACGTAGAATCACGAGGAGAAAATATAACTGCGAGCCGTCGGCAAGAATGAATCCTTGTGGCACTCCCTTCGACACCGGTAGAGCATCCGATGCTACTCCATCCACAACAACTCTCTGAATTCCTTATAACTAATCTAATTAGCGAGCGCTAACGATTTTTCTTGTATTTACTCAGAGATCGGTTTTTGTATGAAATCATCATCTTTATATTGAGTTGACCAACATGCTGGAGATTCAGTTATCTCCTTCGTTTGGGAAGGGGCATGTTTTTCAAAAAGATTGAGTATGTTTGTCGTTCAGGAAGGAGACCATGCAATCCACATTATCGAATTGATAGGTGCGATTCCACTGAATATTCTAATCTATTTTTTTTTATTCCAGGGGTGGATGATATGTTTGTGATATTAGCCTGCTGGGAAGAATTGAAAGAAGAAGACAGAAAACTGCCTATTCACGAAAGAGTGGGCTTGATGCTTAAACACGGGGGCGTATCAATCACAATAACTTCGTTTACCGATATTATAGCTTTTCTCATTGGATCGTCAACGGTAAGTAGATTCATTTTGAAATTCATGAAGTGAACCTGTATTTCATTAAAACTATCAAAAATGGCAATGCCATTTGGGCTTAGCAACGACCCGTCTACCTTTCAAAGTGTTATGGAATCGTCCATTAACTTATTTTGCAAAACATCAATAAATATTGATTTTATTCAGATTAGCAGAAAACAATTGAAGCATTTTTTGACTGAATTCTCAATTTAAATTTTCAATCTTTCAGATTTCAATGAAGTAATTTTTTTCATTTTTAGATACTCCCGTGCCTTGAATCGTTTTGTATTTATGCAGCAGCATGTGTACTTATGACATTTATTTTTGCCATAACATTTTTCGTTGCCTGCTTCGTATTGGACCAGAGAAGAGTTGAGAATAAACGAAACGGTGTCGTTCCGTGGATAAAGCACAAGGATTCTTACATACCTAATGAATGCAGCCAAAGAAAATATACAAATAGTATTTTCAAGATGATCTATTCCAAAGTGATACTGACCACACCAGGAAAGGTAAAATAAATATACAGTGCATTTCTTCAATGTCCCTCCCCCCTTTTATTTTTTGAACGGGTCAACTTGAATTTGGGATAATGAAATTAATGCATGAATACTTTATTTTGAAGAGAAATTGACAAATGAAATTTTCACATCTTTTTGAAGCTTCTGCTTTAGAACCCTAGAATATAATGCCAATATCTTCAACCACTACAAAATGGCGGAACTTTTAATGATTGCCTGAATACATTGACATTTAACTACATAATATGAGGTTAATAACTCAAGTGCTTTGGTTTCACCGATAATGCAGTGTCACTTATGAATAGCTATCTCTCCGGAAGGACCCAATCAACTTACCTTGATGGTAACCAATCAACAATAATATAAAAAAAAATTGGTGTACCGCAAGGTTCAGTCCTGGGACCCTTCCTTTTTGCAATTTATATTAGTGACTTCCATGAATTTGTTAGTTTTGGTAAAATACATCACTACGCCGATGATACTCAATTGTATAGTTCATTCAGCTTTAAAGATATTACACCTCCTAATGAAAATATTAACAGAAACCTCAAAACTCTATATGATGTATCATGTGCACATAATCTTACTATCAATCCAAAGAAATCCCAGGATTCGCTTCGACAGTTTCAGTGATGGGAGGGTCAACAGCAGTTTCCAGCAAATTTAACAGTTCCTCTGTTGAATTTTGATCAATGAATAGAGGTCCTACAATATGGATTCCCAAACATTAATTTTTTCTGGATATTGGATATGTGTTTCCCGGAAAACGTAAGAATTGATGTCACTCCAATAACGGCAATTTTGTCTGTGAACATAGCTGTTTGAAAAAAATGTACCTTCGTCGCTAAAACAAATATTGTGGAGATAGGTAGGATGCCTTGCAATAGTTTCCGTCATGATTTCGCAGAATTCTCTTCTTTGATCAGGGTCATCTTCAGTTAATTGGTGTATCATTTTAATTTAGAATAGATGATACCTATTCCTCTTCAAAAGTCTCCAAACAGTAGAAGGAGATACCTCAAAAACATTCGCGACGGAATAAGTAGACTGTTCAGGATTTACTACCATCTCAGTAATTATTTGCACTTGCTGTTCTTCCGAAACGAAAGGATGACTTAGGGGCTTTTTGTTATGTACACTACTGGTAGTTGTGAATTTGGATACAAGTTCCCTCAAAAATTTTCTACAGATAGGACGATTTAGAAAACGTTCATTGAAAATCCTTTCGGTCTCGTGAAAGTTACGCGTTGCACCGTAAATAGAAATCGCTTCAATTTTTCCTACCAATGGACGAGAATTGAGCATTTTAGAGATTATTGACGTGGTACCTTTCTACTAGTAAAACCGAAATCATTTGAACTAAATTGAATAAAATCAAATCAATAACATACCGTAGATATTACAGTTAGTCTTCTCAATTAAAATTATCATCGTAGAATTCTGCTGAGCTATAATAAGTTCTCACAGAAAGCAAGACTTTCAACTCTTTCTTAAGAGCTCTAAGGTTATTATGGTTCTTATAGCTTGAGGAAGGTGATTGAATATTTTGAGGCCGTTGTAAATAATGGAATCTTTAACTAGGTCGAAGAAGGCAGCGCTAATTTAAAGCTGAATCTTCGCCTGGTTTGATACATTGACTCGTCCAAGTTGTTAAACAAGTTCCTATTTTTGAAGAGAAGGCAGATTATCTCATATATGAATAAGAAGACCATATTTAGGATTCTGTTAGAGGCAAAAAGAAGCCGACAAGAGTCCCTAGGCTTGGCTTTGTATATGCATCGTATTGCACGTTTTTGTATCCGTATCAGAAGGCATGTGGTAGAACACACACCCCAAAGGCAAAAACCATAACGAAGATGGGATTCAAAAAGGGAATGATAAACAATTCTGGCTACTGCAGATCCAAACTCAAATGCAGTTACTCGTATTGCATAACATCCAGAGGAGAGCTTCGATTTCAAAGTATCTACATGTTTGTTGAATTTTAAATTATTGTTAATGAACAAGCCAAGGAATTTAGAAGTGGGTACGTTGTCAACTTGAATATTATTTAGATGTACGGTTGGAATCTGGCAACGATAGGACACTACTTTTGTTTTTGATAAATTCAAGCTCAAGAGATTTGAGTCAAACCAGTCTTTCACTTTCGTGGTGTTATTCTCAATAACTTCATACAACGTATGGTTGTTAGGAACATGTCATAAAATTGCGGTATCATCAGCAAATAAAGTAAATTTTCCTCGGATGTTAATAGATGATAGGTCATTAATGTAAGTTAAGAATAAAAGTGGGCCCAGTACCGAACCTTGTGGGACGCTGCAAGTAATTTTACCTTCATTTGAATATGTAGTGGTTATGCCCATCTGGGTGAGATCTGCTAAGTATGACTCAAACCACTTGAGACTTATTCCAGTTATACTGTATCTACTGAGTTTCCGTAAAACAATTTTATGATTCACGCAATCAAATGCTTTGGCTATATAACAGTATCGTAAACTAAATGGTGACGTCATTTGTCAGCTTTCACGATAATTCGGTGAAATACATCTAATGAAAAAAGAAACGCAGGTGGATGTACGTTCCTCCACATACTTGGAAATTTCAATGTTGTCCAATCACTTATATCACGATGAATTTTTCACTCTCAGTTGACCTGTTCTAGCCTCCCCAGTTATTACAAAACGTATTTTGTATTCGTATTTATTTCGCAGATCATCGTCATTGCCATAACTGTGATATTAACCGGATTCGGAACAGTGGGTACCCTCAAACTGGAGCAACATTTCGACCCCGAATGGTTTATCCCGAGCAACACTTACTTTGGAGCTTTCTTGGAAACCAGGAGAATTCACTATCCGGGCAGAGGATTCGACGCGGGACTTTATATCGGCCGATTGAATTACAGTCAAGAAATACTCACCATCAAGAAGATTTCCGATGAGCTGTACAGCTTGCACAATATCACGCACAACGTACAGTCCTGGGTGGACCCTTTCAGGAATTTCGTTCACATTAATTTTGATCATGGTATTTATCGAACTCCATTGAATTTCATTCATTAATAATGCATCTTCAGACTGATATTGAGACCGCATAGATGACTACTACATGTATAACAGTACACGATGGTCGTGACGTCACTCACATTTGATATGAACTTGGCAACACTGTAAAATTCATTCATATTGTCTTTTGGTTGGTTTCCGGGTTTTGCCTGGTCTTCTTCGGTTACAATCTACGTTTCATCTGCAACTGCGGCAGTCATCTTCAGTAGCTTCTTCTGAACCTCCCATTTCTGCCGCAGTGTTGCCAACTGGATGAACTATGAAGTCGCTACATCAAAATCAAATACCACAGAACTTACAGTTTGTGTACAGTTCAGATACACAAAACTGAAACTTTGGAATCAGGATCATGCTCGCTTTCAACCGTAGATGGTACCTGATTTTCTAATATTACAGTTAAATACCTAATGAACATATCAACAAACATTTGAATAAACTTCAAATTATAACAATAAAAAAAACTCATAGCAATTCCGTTCCCGTCGATTTCAACTGCGGTAGCTATTTCGCTCGAGCTACTATCTTTCATTTCCACTGTAATTTGCTCCATATATGTAATTTATAATACTCGAGAATTTTAGTTCCAAAATATTGCAGGTTATCGGTTATACGAACAAACATTTTCAATAATCTTCTTCTCTTCCATTACGTAATGGCCTCAGCTACTAAGACTATAACGTATCGACTGTGCATTCAATTGTCAGCTGTCAGCTTCGACGCGGCCTCTTCTTCCATATTTTTTCATTATAGATTATTTGTAGAAAATTCCGCTATTTTATGTTCAAATCCGCTACGCCGCTACCGTCGAGTAAAATCCGGTACGGTAGCGGGATTCCGCTACGGTTGACAATACTGCTCATATCTGCCGTGTTATTTGTAGTGCTGCTTTTCCGCGAACTTTTTATAATGGCGGGTTTCCACCTACTTCCCGCGTACAGATCTTTGGTAGATATGTTCTCTCTTCCTTTCTGTTGAAGTTCTCATGATGTTTGTGTATTTGTATGGCTTCTGAATGTATTCTTGTTGAATAATAATTCGACGTTGCTAGCCTCTTGGTATTTTCGAGAATGATCGCGTGGTCCCAATGCATGTTCAGCGACTGCAGACTCCTCGATCAGTCCCAATTGTTAACTTGGCTTGTGTTCGACTAGGCGGGTATCAATGCTTCTTTTCGTCTGACCGATATAGACTACACCACAGTTACATGGGATGCTGTAGACTCTGCTGATTTGAGTAGATCTCCGCTGTCTTCTGCTGATCTCAGACACTCCGATAGTTTCTTAATTGGTTTGAAGACGGTTTTAATTTTCTCCTTCTTTAGAATTTTCCCGATTCGGGAATGTATGGCAGATAGACAGTGGTTTGGGGTTGATCTTCCCTGGTGTTTCTCTTCTTCTCTCTTAGACGCGTAGGGCGGATTAAGTCTTTTCTGTCGTAGCCGTTCTCATATAACAGTTGTTAGGTGTTTTATTTCATCGTCGACGTACCTTTCTTTAAATATTCTCAAAGCTCTGTTTAATAGGGCGTTGATGACGGATCGTTTCTATTTTGGATGATGGTTGGATCCATTATGTAGGTGTCAATCTGTGTCTGTTTTTTTATAACTTATGGCCTAGTTGATTACCTTCCTTGATGACCAAGACATCAATCAATGGTATTTGGAGGTTTTTTTATAATTCCATGGTGAACTGGGTTTTTGGATCAAAGCTATTCAGATAATTTAGGAAGTTCTGAAGTTCTTTTTTTTCATGGCTCCAAACAATGAACGAGTCATCTACATATGTTTTGGACACTCCATTGAACTATTCAAAAGGTCATTTACATATGCAATAGCTGAATTCTATAACAACCTACCACCTTCCTTTCGGTCGAAATCTGTTTCCGGTTTCAGGTAGTGCCTGAAAGTACACCTTCTGAAAAAACAATAACACCCGAATATCTTCTACGACACATTGGCTCTTGTAGGCTATAGCTAAAGTAATTGTAGTATTCTTATGTTTGTATCGATATCCGCCTCATCTCCCCTCTTTATTCGAATAAAATGTTGTACCCGCTATCACAATTACAATTTAGGTCCTTTGTATTTTTTTTGTTTTTTATCTTTTCTATTTTTTTTGTAAGGTGCAAGAGGAAGAATGAACTATGTTCAATCTTGTATCCTATTGACAAATTTGTATTTTTTTTTCTCCATATTGTATCATGCTATTTCTGCTGTCAATAAATTCATTTACTGTTATTATTATATCTCAACTGGTGCTTCGGAAACCAACCAAAACCTTGACGCCAGCCGTGAAAGTATCCATTCATATATTTTTTACAGACTTCGTAGTTCATTATAGATGTTTTATAAAGTTCCACATAGTTTTATATGAAGGGATATAAAAAATATATTTATAATCAGGTTATAGTGTCGCTACATTTTTTTCAATTATCGAGGCAGTTATAGTATTTCCAATACCAATTGGAACAGCACAGAGAAGGAATTCCCGCCTCGACATAGGCGCCGGCATATTATTTTTCAGTGGTAGTTTTTCAGTTACTTGTTCTTACAATCATAGCAATTGATCACCCCATTAAAAAGTTATCTCAACTGAATTTTTCCACCATGGGTAATTATGAAAAACTTCGAAATTTAAGGTAGTTGATTTCAGAGTCGTAAACTCTAAAATACAATGAAAACACAAATAATCACACCGAATTCTCGTCAAACATATATTTACAAAATAATAGAGGCCAACAAAATTGCTAGAAAAATCAAAATTTTTCTTCGCTATATTCGGATGAGGTGGGATCATCATCGGGTTGAATAACGATCGGATTTATGGAACTTTGCACATAATTTTTGTTCTCTTCTTTTATAACGTGGGCCACACAGTTCTTCCACACATCACTATTATCTATTTCATTCACCACTTGCCTCATATTTTCAAGCATTACAGCATTCAAAGTCGGTGACTGATTACATTTCCACAAGCTTTCTTTCATTGTGGCCCAAACCATTTCAATTAGATTGAACACACAATAGTATGGAGGCAAACGTAAGAGAATATGACCACGTGTTTCACACATCAAATCAATAATATACTCTTTTTTGAAATCAATACCAGTAATACCAGTAATACCTTTTTCGTTGGAATCTTTTCGGGTATTTTCATTTCATGATTTCGCATGAAATCAACAATATCTGCTTTTTTTGTGTTATTGTTTGGTATTGTAGTCAATAACCGAGAATGATACGAAGCGTTATCCATTGACTAGGGGCCACAGGCAAGAAATGTTTATGACTGTACTCTTATTTTTATTGCCGTTTCAATTGGGAATGGATATACTATAACAAGTATTTTAGCTACTTCAAATCACTAAAATCAATGATCCTTTGACAAAAAGATCGCTTTAAAATTTCAATTTCTTTCACGTTGTTTTTCCAACAAAATTATATTTTCAGATATTTATAAAGAACCTTTGGATGACGAAAGGTTCCACATTTTCTTATCGAAGTTTTTGCACAGCCCTCGACATGCCAAGTTCCAAGCTAACTTTATTTTCGATGAAGAACTACAGTGTGGAGTTGCTACTCCTAAAATCAAGGTAGGGAGCTGATCCAGTAATTTGTCGATGCCGTAACGCAAAATTTATTTTTTCAGCTGACTAGCTTCGACTTTCATTTCAAGAAATTCAAAAATCCCAGAGATCAAATACCCGCCATGCACCGAGTTAGGGAAATAGCCGAGAATGCTAATTTCACAACCGGCGACAGGTTTGCAACTGTTTGGTCGCAATTCTTTTCCACGTGGATAACAGACGAGGTGAGGAACTGAAGAAATTTTTGTCATATTTTTGCGATAATTATGTAGAGGAAAGGCTGGTACCTATATATACTATTATGAGTCAACTTTGAACTGTAATATCTCAGTGAATTATAATTTAATTTAATCGATTTAGGCGCCATTTGAATTGGTGCACTTTTGCCAAAGTAACACAAGTTCATCAATTCCGTCATCATAAAAATAGGGTCCTCAGGGTTAGGTAAAGTTGACGAAGGCCTGGAGAATATGGTGGGTGAAACTTGAGGACTGGCGTTGTTGTGGGATTCCAACAATTTTGTTATTCAGGGCTATTCAAATTCATGAAAAGAGAAATGAAAATTTCTATGTTTTTACCACTTTTATTTGTAACTGCAGTTGTTACTGCAGTTTCGTCCAATATGGACATTCTCAAACTAATTAAGTTAAGTTTGTGTGTGTTTTAAAAGTGTTTTAGAGATATATTTGAATATTAATATAGTGCATTCTTGCACTCGGTCAGTAAGAGAAAAACAAATTGTACTGCGAGTATTTCACTGTCTTGAAAGAGATCATCAGCCATCAAAAGATGACTTTGTGCATATATGCTGTAATTCTACGTGTGTACCTCCGAATAACCAACCGGGCATTTCTACATCATTAAGTTCCACAATTACAAAAGATAAATTAGTTGATATGTGCTCTGATTATACCGGTGTACCAAAATCATCGATTTACAAAATACTAAGAGAAGCAGAAATTCATGGGGACGTACAAACGCCAAAAACTAGTAGCGGACGAAAAAAAATCACAGTTGATGAAGAAGCCAAAACCAGTATANATTTTATATCAGATTTATATTTTTAAATAATAAATTAATATTACGTAAATAACACTATTTTACATGTGAATGTGAACTTGATTATTTCTGACAAACATTTGTGTGAGTTTCAACACAGATAACCTTTTTGTAGATGCCTATCTCGAAATATGACTGACTCCCCATCAGATCTGGATTACTTTTTGGTTAGATCAACTTGTTTCGTTATACAATAGCTTGTTCAGACGTTTCTATTATATAGGGCTGGCTTATCCGATGCATAAGCATAATTTAAAGAATAAACATAGCCTTATGATGAAGAGAAATTACCTTCTCCAGTTGAAAACTGATACCTCGGTTATTTTTGGAATTTTTTCATGAAATAAGAATTGATTTCCCTTCATGTATGACTGAATTTTATTAATCTTTTTCAGATATTTTTCCTGGTGATACTGTTTGGTCTATTTCATGGAGTGGTACTTCTTCCTGTCATTCTGAGCCTGGTGGGCCCAAAACCATACAGAATCCATGAAACAGTTTCTCAGGAAGACAATGAAATGAAATCCATGACTAAGATCGAAGCAAAAATTAATTCAACTGTATCCATCTAGTTCTAGGGTTTTGATTTGTTGAGTTTTGAGATAAATATATTTTTTTGAATGTAGGTATGTTTTGTTTTACTGCTTTATAATTATTCTCATGAGTTAAAAAAATATATCAACATAACTTTCACCTTGAATTAATGCCTACGAATAGAATCCATTCTTTTAAAAACATCCAAATCCTCAATTAACTCCTAAAAATATAGGTTGCTAACAAAAATTTCATTGTAGAACAATTTTTTGTTTGAAACAAAAACAATCTACATAATCACAAATGAAATACCTCAAAAATCTTATAATTTATTCGAAATCATCAGTCAGTTCTAAATCCAAAACTACTCAACAGTTATTTCTGAAAGCTGAGACCTCGTTCATTCTTAGCTGAAACAGTTTTGACTTTTGAAACAGTTGATAGATTACAAAAATGTCATCTTATTTCATTATTAAAGTAGACTTGGTATGTTCGATTCTAACTTTACTAACAACAGTATGTGAAATCATGAAAAATCAGAAATGAAACTATCTATGTTTTTTACCTCTTTTATTTGTAACTATCTTCACTGCTGTTTCATCCTATATAGACATTTTCAAACTAATACAATAAAACTGAGTTTTATGATATATAAACAATGGTTTAAAATTTTCTGTTAACCTTATGAAATATTGAAACTATTTTAATGTGTGGCGCCATCTCTTAATGAGTAGTCGAACTGAATGATTGGCGGATATACACACTAAGTAAGATAAATCTTCAAACAACGGTTCCAATTACTAATTGTGAGTATGAAATCAATGTAAAATAGACAGATCATTCGCATTTGCGAAAGTGACCAGTAGGTGTCACAATCAGCTTAGTGTATTTGTGTTTTTATTGAATATTATTAGTTGGAAGGTTTTTATTGATGAACGAAAAAAACTTAATTCATTGGAAAATAGAAATGATTCCAATCGGTGGCGCCATCTCTTGATAAGTAGTCAAACTGAACGATCAACGGATATAGACATTCTTAGTTTGTATAAAAATTTATATTCAAACAACGATTTCATTGACCAATTGTGAGAATTAATTGCAACATCATCGTTTGTTCAACGGTAAATGTATCTCCAACGGCAATATGAAATCAATGCAAAATGGATAGATCTTTCGCATCAGGAAAATTATCCGACAAAAGATAGGAGTCTGCAACTACTAAAAGACTGTGTCGACTTCAAACGAATGGTGTTGCGATAGTGACCAGTAGGTGCCGCAATTAGTCACTATTTTTGTATTTGTATTGAATATAACAGGATTTATAAACGACAATGTTTTTTAATCACAAAGGAAGGCTATCATCGCATAATATCATTAGATCATAAAATGCCTTTTAGGTTATGGGGGTCTGGTTCTAAAATCGAATAATATCAGAAATATTTAACATTTCCACAGCCTCAAGTAGTAATATCTGTTTTTTGGCAATACTAGACAATTGATATCGGTTTTAAACTGTGCTGGAACCCTACACGATAGATAGATATCCTTTAATAAAGTTTCTCAGTACCAAAATAGCAGTGAGTGGTAAAAATAAATAAAAAAATATCTCCCTTAGTAGCATTCAAACTTCATGCTAATATTAGAACTTCAGAAAACAATTATAATGACTCACCTTTGATTTTTTTTGTGGAATAAACACCAATAACAGTTCACTCATATTTAATATTTGTCGAATTGAAAATCACTACCAACTACAACCAAAATATACCTATAACAACGATCTCAGTATTTCAACTGAAAATTGATCGACAAATAGTGTGATTACCAGTTCTCAGTTTTATAACGATTATAAAGATATCGAAATGACTGTGACAACAAATAATACACAGCCTACTCGAGTTTGGTGTTCAAATCTTTATTGTGGAACAAATAGTCAGGGAGTCAAATCTCTTTTTGAAGAACGATGGGCATGTATCTTACACAAAACGAACTCAGTGGCTGAAAATATCGACAATTTTTTCCAGTGGCAACACTATATCAGAGTTGATACCGAAACGACAAAGGGGGTTTCATTCGACATTTTTGTTATTGGTGATAGATGGCGGTAATTTCGTTTTGAATGCTTGAATAATTATGTGCTTTACGTAAAAATAAAATGACATATTACTTGACCACTAATGATAATAACAGGAACTTGTGACTATCCGGGATCAACAGAAAAAAATGCTAAAGTTTGTTGATTTTCTTACCGGCTGTGATTCATGCCTGTGCAGGTTGCAAATTCAAGCTTCAACACTTCTGTATTAGATAATTCCAAACGTTGAATTCATGATCCGGTATAGTACAGGTGATGAGAACTATGGCATATCAAAATGGCGCTGTTTGGTGTTGAATCATGATTATTTATTATAAATAATCTATATAAAACAGAGGAGACATTTTTTGAAAAGTCTATACTTATTTGTTGAAACTAAAAACCATAAAAAAATAATTCCTCAATTGAAATTCAAATAGAGTACTATTAAAATCCGTCATTTAGTAACTTAGTTTCTTAACTTTCCATTTTTATTATTACCCGTGTCAATACATTAGTGATTTCTATTATCTTTCAAATTCCTGTATTATTGGTAGACTGAGGTGTTTCTGATTTGACTGACATTTTTATCGTAAGCCTTTCATAGTGCCAACAAAACACAAAATGAATAACAATTGAAACAGAGCTATACTAACTGGTCTGAAAATTCGTAGGTTAACATACAGATGGCGATACTAGTAATGAATCCATATGATTTTTAGTTAACCCTAACCTTCAAAAGATACGTGTACAAATTTCACAGCTGTTGGACTATTCTTCCCTTGCTTGTGTGTTTCGGCCAATGAGCATATGAATCAGTCCTTGATGCAGACTCCGGTCTGTCAGAAACCGGACGATGTATAATTGGTACTCCAATGTCAAAGCTGGGTCGACCTCTTCTGGCTTACTTTCCGCAACGAGACAAACCCATCGCAACCTCCAACCTAAACCGTTTGAGAGGTATATATTTTTGGTTCAAAGCTGCACAATCCATTCTATAAAGAAGCCATGCGTTCACAACCGTCACATCTAAAAGATATGCAAATATGGGAAAGTACCATCTTTCTGCTATGTGAGGTGTTTTATAAAGACCCATGAGAGCATTAGCTGTGTCAACACCACCCATATGTTTATTATATTGTTTGACGATTGCTGGACACTTGATAATTGTTTTTGTCCTCGTATTTTTATTGTATCTCTTCTCAGTGTCTATGTGCTCTATGCCATATAGAGTACTGTCTAATAAAACAGCCCATTTCACTAAAATAATGCCTTTGTCTTTATCGGTTTTGTAGTCATAGCATCCTCTCCCTTGTTTCTGTAGAAATTTGTCAGTTTCTATCGGGCAACCAGCAATTCTATTGGCTCGTAGTGTTCCCAGGCTATTTATTTTCATTTCATCCTTGAGATACAAGAAGAGTGGCAGACTAGCGAAATAGTTATCAAAAAATAGAGTCGATTTGCTTGGATCATGCAATGATTTTGCTAAAGCAATTACAGTTGCAGCTCCAACACCCAAGTCAAACTCGTTCACAGTAATTTCATTCGTAGTTCCCTTCAAAACATCAAAGGTACTCTAATATA